ATAAGTGTACTTAACGTAATTACAACGAACACGGGCCGAATTTATAGCAGAATGTCCGTAATACGTTCCGTGCATTCTTGTTTGATACGAGTAACTAAGCAAGTTATGCGATAAGCCACCAGCTGTATGCAGGAATGATATACCAATAAAGCAAACGCCCAACCTCACACTGAGGAATGAAATGAGGTCTCCTTCTGCACGGATGTTTGGGAATGTACACAATAGTTGTTTATGCAGGTGTTCTGTGTGTCTACTACCAGTACCTAATTGGCACTCTTCAAACTGCAGTGTGGGATTACGTAAACATTCAACTAATAAAATAATTACAGTAGAATGATTCCACGTGGACTCTGTCATGCGTTCTACGCATACAAAATGCATGCACTGAAGCAAGTGTTCGTTTTCTTCCGCTTATTTAAACTCAAATTACATGATGGACTTCCGTGAAACTTAGTGTGGGAGGGGGTTGAGAGATATACTATAAGTTCAAATGTGGACCATATTAGTTCGTACCAATAGTTTACAATAAATAAAAATAGAACCTTGCCGACTTTCCTAAAACAGCTTATCGTACAAAAAAACATTGGTAGAACAAAGGTACCATATATGGAATATGCAATACCATTATATTCGGGAAACGAAGTGTGACAACACTGTAATGAAGCGCCACATACATGATTGAATTAAATGACGCTGATGTCTCGTACATTTTCTTAATTACTGAGGCAGTGTGCAACTGCCTTTCCGCACATTTGGGTATGCGGAAGGATATAAAGGGATATTTGGTGCAGGGTTTGTCGGAGAGCAAGGGTCTCCGAATCTCAGGGAATATATGGGGACTGCGATGGTTGGAGCGGCCTTTGCGCGAAGGAAGTGAAATTCTGGGGTTGAGCAACTGAAGACTACACCGAAGTTCTCTTGGAGATGTCCACCTTTATTGCGTCTCGAGAGACACTGTTGTACAACCAATTACTCTGATCGGAAGGCAGCGCGATGATTCGGCCGTTGTCTTTGTACTTGAAATTTAAAGGTACAAGCAGAACCTGTCTGCTCGACTTGAAGAACCAAACTTTTGAGGGCCCGCACCAACGCAATCCCGCTATAAATACCAACCAAAACGCTAAATAAGGGCGGAGTCCTGCGCAAGCGCAAGACATCCTGCGTACGAAACGCATTGCTGGAAATGGTAAACAGAGCCTTAAAATGGTAATGGGAATTTTGCTTACGCTAACGGGGTTCTGTAGTGGCGGGAGCCTCGATCATTCAAACTAGGGTCTGTTGCTGCTGATGGGAGGTTATCCCGTCAGGCAACTTGTCCAAAAAAAATTGGTTGGTTGGTTCTCTGAGGTTTGAACCCAGTGAGGGAGGGGCCGTTTCGGCTGAAGGCCTCTGCGGCATGGGGGGAAGATCACTTCAGCTGATGGCCTCCATGATCGGGGGGCGGGAGGGTGGAAGGTCGTGCCCCTATTAAGTTATACCCTGGCATTCGCCTTACAACTGAAGAAAAGCACGGAAAACCTCAGTCAGGGTAGCCGAGTAGTCTAACCACTCGTTGTACCGACTTGGCCGTCTTTTGGGTAGGTCCCAGCGAAGCTGTCAGCGGCCAAAGTCCGAGATCAAATATATGCCTAAGGGGTCCCCCACACCAGCTAACTTCGAGTCAAATCTCTGAGTCAGTGCTCTGAGCTATAAATACTCCCGTAACGTAACTGTTCTTAAATTTTGAATTTAATACAGCGATCCGATTCGTCCCCCAATGTCGTCGGAAACGCGCCGAAAAACCACATTCGAATTTCATTGGTTCCAGTCGCAGTGAGGCGACGGTTGTAGGGCAACCGTCATTCCACATCTGGTAGGGCTTAAGTTTTCCTTTTACGAGTGCGAAAGCTTTGTTAAAGTCACGTTTCGGCTAGACGGAATGTTGGGAGGAGAGACGTTCAAGCCACTTCCAATTTAATACATTCAACAATGCCAGAATTAATAAAATCATCAAATTTGGATGAAGTAAGGAGTACCAAATATCATCTAATCACACCTCCCTCGTTTATATAAACCAGATTAATATGTCAAAGCTTGGTTTACCCCTCATCTCAAGGTTCAGCCCGTTCGGGAATCGAACCACGAACCTGTACTGGCACAAGTGCTCATAAGTTACGGAACAACAACGATGTTACGCCTACTGCCTACGTTATTTTTATTTGTAGTGTTCTGTCTGACGACAGGTCCATATATCATGAACAGGATCCTTCCAACCTCTTCAGGTTGTCAGGGACCTGCTCATACATATATACATTCTTGGCAGAGATGATCAGAAGTGGTTTGCCATTGCCTTCTTCTGTGTGTGAGTGGAGTAATTGTTGGGATGCCACGGAGAAACCGGGGAAGCCCCCGGAGGAAAACTCCGTGATGCTTAGACCACGGCCTTGCCCAACACAAGTTATAAATTTGAGCACACGGGCATCTAAACCAATGAGATAAACAAAATCTCAAAGACGCATTTCGAAAACACGAAAAATTATAAAATGGAGTAAGGGATACAGTACGTAATGTAAATTCTCTCCATACCAACCCTACAAAGCACGCCACGATTTTACAAACGAGGCTCTGATGACAAAGTGATGTAATGACAGTATATTCATTATATTTGGAGCGGAAGAAAAACCCCACGGAGCGCAGTCGTTATTGAGAAACTAATACTCGATCACCTAATCAAGGAATTCTCAATCTTTTATGGAACCTGAAGATTCATTTATCTTGTTCACAGAACGGAGGAACCGAGCTGCCCCATTCAAGAGAACATAGTCATGACGGTACCCAATTCAAACAAAAGTCATACTGTATGACCATTAAATCTGGTAGATATTGTTTCTTTTCATTTATTGTTATGAAGCTCATTACTACTACACTCGGTGAGACAATACAGAAAACGTAAAAAAATATAAGTATTAAATAATGAACCTGAAGTTCCCCCCAAAATACCAAAAACTAATGCTGAACGTGTGAGGGAATATAGAAATCTCAAGAAGCAATTATTGCAAGTTAATGCTTCCACATCATTAGCAAGTACGAGCACAACCAAGGTATGACAATGCAACTGAATATTTTCATAAGCATTTTAATGAAAATAGATTTGGATACGCGTGCAATGTATGTGATCGGTTATGGTTTGAAAAAGATTTGAAACAAGTTACTGATAGCCATTTAAATATATTGAAATACCATTCCATCGTCTCTTTACACAAAACAGTTAATATTAAAACAAAACTGAAACTCTGAACAATGAAAATGTCTGAAAAGTGTGCATGTTCCCTTTCCCAACTAACTGAACCATTTAACTTACGTTGCTTTTGGCGGCGGGGTGGTCTTGTCATTCCTCTTGCATAAACAAATCTTCACGAATTGCACATCATTATCAACCTTCAATTTACAAAAAATTGTCCATGTTACAATTTATTAGCACAATTTACTGCACACGAATGTCACATATGTACATCATACTTTTAGTGAAGCAATATCGTAAATTCTATACTTGCGAGAGACGGAGGGCTCTGCAACTACTCACACATGTCATTTCGTTCTTCAACTGCAACTGATAGCTGCAGTTTTTGTTATTGTTTTCTGAATATATCGCCAGATGTCGGTATTTTATGAATTAGTTTAGCTAAATGGTGTCACTGTACTGAAATGACAGCGTTCCGTGTTAATACTGCATGGAAAATTTAATACCAAAATTGTCGGCTACTGATTATCGATGAGGTTAATTTAAAGTGTTAAAATTTAAGAAATGGTAAGAATGGTATTTGAGTTTCGCCAGAATAAGGGATTATACAAATCAGCGATGAAATGTTCAAGCATAAAGCTGTAAGGAGTGTTCGATCTGCGAGATGAATTTGTCATAACTGTTCAAGGCCGTCATGTAGAATACATAGCAAAACAGTTCAAACACTTACCCTGCAAGGAGTAACTACATATTTTTGATTTCTTAGCAGGCATCCACATGACGTCATCTACCACAACACTTGCCGATTTATTTCATTTGTGCTTCCCCAGATACAGATGTCGGTGACTGATGACATCGGTTGTTTAAATATGCTGTCCAGTTGGTGGGATTATGTACTTCAAAACTTATGATTAAACGTTAAATTACGGGTGTCAAGTTGGTTGTCTGGTTCACGTAAAATACATTTTAAAATTTCTTTCATCACAGAACGTAAACACAATAATTGACGATAATGCTTATAAACACGCGCGGTCAAAATTCACAGCTAAAGTACGTTACTAATTCAAAGACGCTACTAATCACGAGGTATCGAGCACGGGAAGGGTGGTGTACTGCTCCAAAAATACCACTACCATTAACCACATACGTGATCAGTACTGATGACCCTCCTTAACCTATGTATTACTGATACAAATGTGCGTCTCATAGCCATCACTTCGGAACGGGAGTCTTTCATTTCGACTGTGGCGCCATCTCTGAATCAGGAATCGTAAGCATAATTGTAATCGGCGTAAGCGATTGCTCAATCGTGAACAAGTTTAATTACTATACGACCTCTTACTCAAGACTTTACTTTATCATACTACTGGTTGAGGATTAAACTTTGGTATTGCAGAGAAATGCAATTTGTTTTTGTGCAAAAGCGACAGATGTGAACTGTATGAGATTTGAGGTTCTCACAAGTGGCAAATCCGTCTAGGAGGCAGGTCACATGAAATGCAATATAATTACATCTCTCCAACAATCGCACCACAATGCTAAGGTCACTGCTGTACTATATAACAAAAAACTTCTTTTATACTCTTCCTATTTTATTGGTCTCACAAGCAGTGTTATGTACTACTTTTTGACCATCTTGGGGGCTACCACTAATGGAAGCTAAATACAGGACATGGGACAGAAGACCATGTTCCAGGTTAAGCAACATGGCACTGTGTAACCAAACAACCTAACTTCACCCTCTGGTCACATAATGTGTCAATAAGGAAGAGGCAACACAAATATTGACATACATATATTAGAAAATTTGGTCATTCCTTAATCAGATGATGTAGCCAAAGCTAGTCTCTGAAACATTGGCATATGACTCAACACTGACATGGCTAATCACCCAAGAAAATTTTATAACATTCACATATTGTAAAAGTTTTAAGTCTTACAAATGTCATCTGCCCACAGCTGAAATTTACACCTCTGCATTACATAAATCACAAACCTCACAAAAATAAATGATCTGATAAACATTACTACTCTATCATAATGATCACCATAAGTATTAGTATTCACTTCACCTTGAAGATGGATACACTAAGGATCTCAAAAATGTCAGCAATACAGTCTACAACTATACAATGCAGTTTGTCAGAAACTGGAAAGACTGAAATTTTCTGTTCACTATAGACACCCACTGAAATCATTGAGTATACACAGCAATTTCCTCATATATCCAAATCATCATCTGGATCCTCTTCATCCCAATCATCTGCAGCATCAGGCTGGTAGAACACTTCTCCTCCCTTCTCGCTGTTTACCCTTCTAAACACAAAGAAACAAATAACAATTCAAATAAAAACATACCAAACAATATAATACAGAACCTTACTGTAATCTTGCAAGAACTGAAAGAAGTGTTTATGGCAATTAACAACAGAAACCACACATAAATATTACAGTAAGATTATGGGCAAAAATTCAATTTGCTAATCTTTCATTACAATGATAGTTCCCAAACCTTATCATTAAAAAAAATCCCTTCAAGATTAACTCCATAGAGCCAAGGAAAATACCCACAAAGGTTCATAACTGCATGCAACTAGATTCTGTCCTGACCCAGCTGATCAGTCCACACTTTCCTACCTTATTTCACTGAAATACGTTTAAATATTACTGACTTATCTCACCCATGTATGCTATATGTCTTACTGACACCTTCTTCATCTAATCATTCTAATGACACAATATGATCAAACTACATTCCTCCCTCAAAGTGATGGACCATATTAAATGCCTAATATAGAATTTTTGTATAAAATCTCTTGGAAAGTGCAAACTTGAAAGACTGAGGGGAGAAACTCATTAAGGATCTTATAGAGACGAAAGAATTTGAGGTTGATGAAAATAGATTATTATCACATCCAATGGTAACGCTTAGATGTTACACCTTTGGGTTCTACTTTTTGACAGTCACGCCTTTTAATCTGTACAGATGATACAACACACCTGAGATATGGCAAAACAAGCTGACTCCTGGCTTGCTTTTCTTGCTGACCAAGACTCAGCTTGAATGTTGTCAAGTTCTGTGGCAAGTTACTGTCATCAATCATCTCTTTATTCATTCCTGTGGTGGTTGGTACAACCACTGTCAAGTCTTCGGACTTCACTCTGTTATCTGCATCTATGAAATAATATTCTGCCTATGAAAACAAACATGGAGATCTAGAAATAACTTATAATGCCTGAATTACTTAAAATACTATGATATATATGCTAACACTAGCAGAAACTAGAAATTACCAGTAATAACAACACAATTTAGTGGCCCATATGAGTTTGTAATTTCCTGCAACACAGATTCAAATTATTTCCAGATGTTATTTGAAAGATTCCCATGTTACCATGTCCCTAATTGTTAATATGCAAAATCAACTTAAAGCTTCACTGATTCTGAAGTTCATTCTAGGATTTTGTTCTCAAACTACATTCTTCCCTTGGAGTAAATATTAAATTTAAATTTCACATAAAACAACACATAATATTATTGTTTTGTGTATTTTTATCTTTCCATCATAGGAGGAGGGAAGTATTCCAAACTGAAATGCAGTGAATAATTCCTGAATTAATTCTTCTCTTGCATAAAAATATATAAGAAAAACATCTGTATGTTAGTGTAACTTCACTGACCCGTTTTAACACTTTTCCTCCTTGTTTTTTATGTATTATATGGGCAATGGGGTTTCCTCTTGAAGATTGTGTGAATGGGCCAACTCTGACAATAGTAGCTGCAAGATGGCACAGTTGTGGCAATGCTGCATGCGCATCAGGTAATGTATCTTTATGAACCAGGCATACAACCTGTGATACAGCTAATCCTGCAAAACAACACATAAGATTCCCAAGAAAGTTAAAAATCAGAATAAGAATCTTTCTAGAACAGCTCCTACAATCTAGTCATAACCTTTTCAGCACAGACCATGCTCCATCTCAAGATTGTAATGTGGGCTATGTCTCTCCATGTCTTCCAAGATTTAAACACTAATACCAACCTTGAAAATTAGGACAGAGATAGCCCTCAAAACATCGGCAGAGTTTGACCATGCTGGCCCAAGTAGATTTTATTAAAATATATATTTATTATTCAAGTCTATACACAAACTTTTAAATTGTTGATGTTAAAATTTAAAATTAATATTAATATTCTGCGCCATTCATCGTTATCTCGATGTTACAATATTGCGCTTTATACTACTACATGTTTCAATGTCATAGCATCATCTTCAGGTTTTTTATCTTTAAAACTACTCTATATTTATTAATGCAAGCTTTTCATTGATTGTAGATTGTAGATTACTGTTGTGAGTGTTCCTTTGATCTTCTTATTATTTTGCATATTATGTTGCATATTATGTTAGTTGTTCATTATTCAAGAGTTTGATGTGCAGTGTGTCCCCGTCTGATCAGGTGAATGTCAGTTCATAGACTCACCTGATCAGACGGGGACACACTGCACATCAAACTCTTGAATAATGAACAACTAACATAATATGCAACATAATATGCAAAATAATAAGAAGATCAAAGGAACACCCACAACAGTAATCTACAATCTACAATCAATGAAAAGCTTGCATTAATAAATATAGAGTAGTTTTAAAGATAAAAAACCTGAAGATGATGCTATGACATTGAAACATGTAGTAGTATAAAGCGCAATATTGTAACATCGAGATAACGATGAATGGCGCAGAATATTAATATTAATTTTAAATTTTAACATCAACAATTTAAAAGTTTGTGTATAGACTTGAATAATAAATATATATTTGAATTTTAAACACAAACATGACGCATCAAAACTATAGATTTTATTAAGTAATTCTGTAATCTGTAGTCTGACCTCCAGATTTGACACATAAGATATACTTAAAATGTTCATCACCACCATATTTCTATCCATTATTTGTATTTTCTGATAACCAAGTTGGATTAATATTAGAAACACCGTTAATCATCAGACTGGATCCGTCAACTGCCACAGCAAGCTTCTCACATAGACCTGCTGTGGTAGACAGTTACTCACAGCCACTTTAACATTGAAGTTAAAGTTATCTTATTTAATATAAGTCTCCAAGTAACAACCCTCTGGTTTTAAGCACGTCTCACATCGTGAGAATATGTTCCTAGACACACGTTGAAGTTGCCGTACAGGAATAGCAGAAATTTCATGCCTAATATTTTCTTGGCATTCTTCTGAAGAGTGCAGATTGTTCACATACACTTTATATTTCAGCATTCCCCACATATAAAAGTCACAAGGTGTTAAATCAGTTAATCGCAAAGGCCACAATCCTCGAAACTTCACGCAATGCAACAACAGAATTGTTCACAGTGTGTGCTGTAGCATTACCTTGCATAAAATGCACATAACATCAGGAATAGATTGTTTCATAGAAAAATCATGGGCCCAATTATCCTCCACACACTAACTGTACACCAAGCCAGCTTAACTCGGTCAGTAGTGACTGGCTATGGACTGGACGACCAGGGTTCAATTCCAGGATTTTTTCTATAGCCTCTGCATCCATACTGGTTCTGGGGCCAACCCAGCCTCCTATCCAATGAGTACCTGGGTCCTTTCCCTGGGGTAAAGCATGGCCAGGTCATGATGCTGACCACCCACCCCGATCTAGTGCCAAATGCCTAGATGGCATATAGTGGGATACCTTTACTTTATATACTTTTACTGTTTTTATAAGTGCCCCATTACAGTTTTGTTTCAAGACTTAAGTTAATCTAATTCGGTAAAAATAAAACCATCATAATATTTTGCTCACCATTTACAGATTTGGTAAGCAGAGAATGAAGTTCACGATAGCATTTTGTGAAGCCATTATAGTAGATGAGAGGCATCAAAGAGTCAATAATTACAACACAGTCATTTGTACTTGTGACCAGTGAACTTTGTAAAACAGACAATAGGCTATTGCCTCTTGTGTTAACACCAGATTTAATGTTTTCCTTCTTCTGACCTATAAAAACAAAACAAAATTTTTTCTAGACACAAACATATAAGTATGTCTTTCTCTTAAGCCTCCTGTCTATTGGATACCAGGAGCTCTTTCTCTGGTGTTACAGCAGGAAAAGTGTGAACATAAAGATTTCATGGAGCTTTCATAGTATGGGGCAGAGCTAAATTTAATGCAACCATTTCAGTCACATATTTATGTGGTGCAGCTTCACTGTCAGATCTGGCACTACCACAGCGTTAAAAACAAGAAATGTCCATTATCCACCTACTGATCATTCATCCTGACAAGTAATTCTAAAACACACAGAATACTGTCTGTTGTTATGACTATAAGATGGGCAGGAGAGCCTCAACCTAGGAAAAGGGAGTCACATATAAGTAGGAAGTCTTTTGAGATATCTGACACTGCATTTCAGAAGCACGTGAATGAGAAATATTATATACTTACTCTCAATCCAGCCCCGATGGTCTGTAAAACAATCATGAAAATGCACATGATCTTCACCACTATTCTTCAAACCATTTTTCATCTTTCCTGTAGGATGCTCATAACAAATAATGTGTACATGGTTCTCCTTTCTATCAACAGCATGTTGTACAAATGCTTTCAACAATGGAAAACCACTCTGTTCAAGAGAATCTGTAATAAAATAAAGTGTAGTACAAATTAAGTCTTACTACCAACTGAAGTTGGGTAATGCTTGACTGTCTGCAATTGGTAGGGCAGTTTGAAAAGTTCTTAACGATTATGTACTATTAGATATTTGAGTTAAATATATTGCCTTAAAAGCAGAGGCTCTGGAAAATCAACGGAAATATTCACCAATACTCGGGCACAGATTATATTCTTACAATTTAATTTCCGGCAATGTTAGAGAATAAGACGCCGAAAGTCGCGGGCAAGTATTTAGCATTCCTGACTCGTAATTGGAAGGTCCCAGCTTCAATTCTCAGCCTCGGCCCGAATAATGACCTTCATGACAGACTTTCGTGGTCTCCCAAGGCTCCCTTAGGCAATTGCCTGGGTAATACCTTATAACCAAGAATTTACCATTTCTTTCCACATGCTTTCCATTTCATTAACCATCGTATCACTCCTAACATTAGACGCTATATAATCTAGAAACATACAAACACACAAGGAAACAAAATTAACCAGTAAGTGAAGCCTCAGTAAATTTCCCATATTGTATACCTTGAATACACACCAAAACGCTCTTTTGCTTTCCTGTTAAAATACTGGACAACATTATGTATATGAAAAACACATTACGAAATTTACTGCAATATATTAATGTCACTGGAAGTAAATGCTACATCGTTTCCATGCATTACGAGGCTGATTGCTATTTAAAACACTTCACAAAATCACTCGCAAATCGTTTGCGTAAAGTATAGGGACACACTTTCTACATAACTGGCACATAACCTCATTACCAATGTTCAACATGACAGTGCTACCATAGCTAGAAGTATAAATTCCCTATCTGGAACAAACAGACAAACATTCTCTTTCTAAGAAATTTGACTGTAAAAATGAGGATGTTGCACTTCCAGGTTGTGACGCCACGTGATTGCGGTGGGTACAAACGTTTCGGAGAAACAAAAGGAAGTAATGTTTGTCGGAAACCTTGGTATCAATCAATAGTCCACTTCGTCATTACCTTCTTGAATTACCCAAATTAATCACATGCATTAATTTAATTATGCAATGAATCATCATACAAAGTTCTATTAAAACCTTCAGTTTCTTCAGAATTTATTATTACAGGAATACAGCCAGGCACAATGACATCATAAGCTTGAACTGTAGGCTAACATGACATACCCATCCTGACATTTACATACCTTTATCCTCGTGAATAAGGCATCAGAAATTACTAGTGAATGTAATGGTTTATGGAAAACGAAGAATGACAAATTATTTAGGACATACAGGTTCCATAACTTTTATTATAAATAAGTTGATAAATCGGAGTACACCCATATTCAGGGTAAAAATATTCAACTTCATAAAATAATACTTAATATAGAGAACAAACTTACAGAAATGCATAGATAGCACACTAGTTTTGTCATAAATTAACTCAAGAAATACATAATTTGTATTGTTACATTTTTACAGTTCATATTCTGATCACTGAATTTCAGAAATTATAAATGGTAATACAAAAATGTATTTTTACTGACATTATTAAATAAAAAAAACAAGCTGAAGAGAATAACATTTCTAAACAGGGCATTGCACACTTAGTGCTTAAGATGTTGATAGCAGATATGAATAAAAACAAATCAGAAAGAGAGGCATATTCTCAAAAGCAAGTGTACTGTATGTGCAAGATAATTTCAAATATTCTTTAACATTAGTATTATTTTAATGAGCTTCTTCAAGATTAACTTAATATTCCAGAGATAATACACAGCTGATCTGACACAGATTGGTCACACTTGCTGCTGTATGATGGTAGCCTTAACATTAAATATTCTTTGGTGGAATTATCAGTAAGGAAGGAAACTGCTTCAGTATTTGGAGGTGGTCATAATGTTGTGTAGCACATGAATTGCCAGATGTTAAAAAAGGAAGCTGTCCCACTACACACCATGTAGACACTTGGGGGGGGGAGGGGGAGTATAGCTCAAACTAATTCTTAACCTTGGCACTAGATACAGGTGAGTGGACAGCGTTACTCCCTGACTGCACTTTGCTCCCAGGAAAGGACCCCAGTACCCACTAGAAACAATAATCATAATTTCTTTATGGACTTGCTTTCAAGTTACTGAAGTGTCAGAAAAGCCACATCATTTACACAGTTGTCTGAAAGTAATCATAATAAGATTGGAAAGGCATATACTTTGGAGTTTACTGACATGCCAAAGGTATTCTACATGTACGTGGTTGTTGCACTGTTTTCTGATAGCATTGTCGCATCTTGGGTAATTCTTGCATTAATCCCAGATCATTGCTGCATTTTTGGTCATTACTGCACTGTTATCCCTGGCCACAGTTGTAAAACAAAGTCTTCCAAAAACTTCTTTAGGTTATTCTTATACCAATGTAATGTGATGTCATATTGTTGCATAATGGGAACCATTGTATCTCAATGGGACAATGGGGCCTTTGGTTCTCTTGTGAAAATGTGACATACAGAAACGGATGAGCCCATAAGGAGTTATTCACTTATGCTAGAGAGTGAAAACTACCAAAGTGAATTAGTAACACCAATCAAGTAACCAACTGAGTGACTTACTCAGTCACTCCTTCATGTACTGTCTGCATTTTTCAATCCACAGTGAAAGTCTAATATTTTTATTCACTGTCTACCTATTTTACTCTCTTATAGTAAAATCCAAGGTTCAACACCACCAGTACCAAAGCAATCATATATTATCCTGTAACAAATCAAACCATAATTTATCCTCACATCCTGCATCTCTTGGGTCTCACCCTGTAAGAATACTGAAGTCTAGAAGTCACTGGTTTATAGAAAAATAACAAGGTAAAACCTTAAAATGTTCACCCTCACAGCAGTACACTTCATCAGGCAGTAGTACAGATAAATCAAACTATCAAATATTGCTAAAAGTCTAGAATTTAATTTTCATTAATATTATGTTGAATCTTAACACAAAAGAAGAAGATAATTAAATGTGCTTTAACATGCCTTTCAATTAGAATGCAGATATTTAAATTAAATAGTCTGAGAGAATGAGAGTAAAGCAAATTTTTAAATGACATGGCAATATGTTAAGTCTTATAATTTATACTATTCATAAGAATGAAATTGGCAGGAAATGAAGAAAATAAAATTTGCATACAACATTAATGTAAAATTCATGCTTCCTTTTGTGAGTATCTGTCTGTATGAAAGTGTATAAATAACAGTTATTCTCTTGTGCGTGAGAGTAATGTAATTGTTATTTATATATTTGCATACAACATTTTGGTCAGTAAACCTCAAAGGAAGAGAAATAATTAAACATAGTAGAACAATATCACAAATAATCTTTGATAAGTAGAGCGTGAAGGATGGAAATGGCCTAGAATGGTAAATTTTTGTAAACACAGATTCCTTATAGAAAGATCCTGCACTATAGGGTTACTTCAAATTAAATCTATTTATTGAGATAACAAAAAGTTAAAAGTAACAATGCAATTCCTTCTCAGGGCTACACACTGAATTTAGCTGCATCAAACATCAAGTCTACCTTCTTGTTCAGATTTTTTCTTCTATATCTGATATAATTCAGTCAGTCAATACCAAACACATCTCCTCCTTTCCTGAAGTCAGCATTGGCAGTAATCATGTTTCCCAGCTTGAACAGAGCACAAATAATCGATCCTCTATCTCGGATACGATCTGTTTTATGTCCAAGTTTCTCCAATCCCTTTACTATTTGCTGTAAACAAAAAACAGATGCTAAGGTTAGTAAACAAAGCAACCACTGAGCTGCCTGTCACAAGAGATGTCAGCTCGGTGACAGCCATTATTCAACAAACTGTGGACTCTAAGACTTCCATGCAACCCTTCCCATATAAATATATTCTTGAACCACATTTTATATTTACATCAACTCTCAAGTTTTATCAACAGGTACTTTCAAGAAGAATATACGAGTGGAAAGATGTACTCAAATTCTGAGTACACATGTTTTTCAAATGTGTTCTATGCAATTTTGCATACCTTACTGGTCTTGACGAACATTTATTACAAACACACATATGTTACTGCAGATATAAAACAATTTTTGCAATCTAATCTCACTATGAATATCGCACTGCAGAGTCAAAATCATTTATTTTTAATAAGTATTTATCATACCAAAACATTTTTTAAATAAAAGCTGTAGATCCTAATGGAATGTCTATGAAGATCTTCATGAAAAATAGGAGTTATTATGACCAATACATGCCAACATCAAGTTCATCTGACAGCTTTTATTGTAAACCCCTGATATACAATTTTCATCTAGTCCATTCAAGTAGTTTTGGAAGCACAATCTTCCCTATCTGCATTCACTTTGTGCAACTTATACAAAGAATACATGAAAATAATTAATAATATTTAACATGTACAATTTTATTCCTGTCACCTTAAATTTCCTTCTTTTGCATATCCTAAATAAACAAGCTTCCACATATCAAAATTCCACAAATTTAAGGGAAGCACATTAATCCCCATTTAGAATTTAACTCTTTAAAATTCATTCATCATTCATAATGAATCATCCTACCATTCAATGATGCATAACCTAGGCAGCTGAAAAAGCATTGTTAAATAACCTAAAAATGAATCAAAGTCATGCTTTATATTTTTGGAATAATCACTTCAAATGTTTTTCAAAACTGAATTCAGCTACAGCTCTCTTTGAGAAAAACTGATGACAATCTTACATTTGTTTCTTATGCTGTGAAGTTTCTCTGAACTAAAAAGGGTGTCATTGCACTCACTTATTTGGCAGAGAAAAATTCAAAGTTTGTGTTTCTGCATATTATACATTTACAGAATAAATTATACCACACCATTCTTCATTGTCATGAAGTATGTTACAATAATGTTGACGATGCAAAGTTCCTAAGTTTCTCAAGAATTAATCAAGTAGAATTTCAGGTTTATCTCTGGAAATGCTTACCATATGACCTGATACCTTTCTGCTCATAACAAGAAATGCTGCACTACAGATGATGGTTTTGGTTTAGCAAAGTCTAATACCCAAGTTCCTTTGAACTTGACTCTAAGTACCTTATAAATTCTACTCATATAAATACTTAACCACATTAAGTTCTGTACAGTTCTTAATATTAGAGGTCTAATAGAAACCCCCTAGAGGAAATCAAGACTTGACAGAAGCCAACGTATAAAGTCTAGATTACCTCCTGAGATTTTTGTAACTTTCAACCTCTCAAAAATGCACTCGCATGATGATAATTCCAATTAGAATTCAAAATGCCAGCCACATTTCAGCAGCAGACTATGAAATTCTACAGGAAAAGTATCCAAAGCTTGATGATTAAATTGGAAGCATATAGCTTATGATGACTTTGTACAACAGGCTCAGAGAGCAATCACCAGTAGGTAGGTTTCTATTCACCTTCACTTATATTAATAAAGCACTCACATCTAGAACTCCATAGTCATAAGCTACTTCCATGGGGAATATCTGATGGTGTATTCGACTAGCATCAACAGCTTGTTTGATGCCTTCACCAAACCATAGAATTCTCATTATTACCTGTAATAAATAAACAGAATGTCATCTTCATTCACACACATTGATCGATATAATTACATTAATATTTGTGATTTTACTTAAGTGGTGCTTGAAAGAAATATTTTGTGTTGTTCTTGTCAGCTTTATGAAGTTCAAGGGAAGAAACACATTGAAGGTGTTTGAGAACAAAGAGCTGAGGAGCATATTTAGACCTGTGAAAGATTAAGTGGCAGAGAAATTGAGAAAATTTCAGACTGAGGTGCTTCACAATTTACACTTTTAACTTGACACTGTAAGTGATGACTTAAATAAAGATGACTGAGAAGGAAAACGTATAATGCATGCATGGAGGAAACAAGAAACAGATACAATATTTCCAATTGGAAAATACTATAGAAAAGACCATTTGAAAGAAACATTAGCATAGATAAGAAGACATCACTGAAAAGGATGCAAGAGCAATAGGTTGCAGATGTATGAATTACACTGAAGTGAAAGGGGAAAATGTTGAACTTTTGAAATGACAGTTATGAACCTTTCTGTTTCATATTAGTGCAGTATTGAGGTCAACCCTATTATGATGCAATAGGAGATAAATAATGCCCTAACCTACACAATTATACATTTACTATGTGTTCTTATATTCTACTAAATATATTTCTGTAACATAAACAAGTTATATATTCTTACAAAAGCTACAGCTGTTGTTATCTTTGTTCCTCCTGAGCCACCAATGACTAATCGTACATCTCCATTTCCATTTACAATCACAGATGGGCACATTGATGAGACAGCATGTTTGCCTGGTGTGATAGAATTTGCTGATGAAAATGGTATTCCAAAATAGCTCTTTGCCTTTGGGATTGAGAAGTCATTCATGCCGCTGTTTAGTATTATTCCGGTTCTGTGTGATGTGACCCCCGCTCCAAAACTGAAACAATTTATGTAGTGAGTGTTTCATTTCCTACCTAAGGATCAGTGTCTCAAGACGGCAAGTCTGCTAAGCTGGCTATGAACAGGCCTGAGACATACGGAGGGCAGGAAAAGAAAGGATATTAGGATATTATTGTGAAAGTCCTTCACATCTAAATCCTTCTGAAGTTTTCTTGTCAGTGAGCAAAGCCCATTAACCACAGCATGCCACTGCTGGCTTATAATTTACACAAAAATAGCACAAAGATTTGGATGAAAGCCAACATTCAGAAACTTCTGTTCCATTTCAACATCAGGGAGAGTTCAACATTTTTAAATTCACATTATATAAATTGGACTTGGTGATGTATTACATATTTAAACAAACCTCAGACAATCAAAGCTGAAATCTGAATTTTAATTTTATTAAATTCAAATTCAGTAATATAATGTGTTTACTTACTATATATTTACAGTACTAGTGATGGAAGCCGCATCTCCATTAGGGGCTATAATAGAAACATGAGCTGTTCCATGGTCATCCACACTGTAATTTACTGCACCGTAATATCCAGGGTCTGTGTAAGTTCTATTGTCATCTATACTCTCACGAATTTTATTTCCATAATCTTTTGATTCTAAAGTATGCAATAACTGCAAAGGAAACAATTAAAAATTAAGAACTAAGGTATGACAGAGCAGGTAAGTGTAACAGTACAGTCATTAACACCACATACATTGTATTCTGGAGGTACTTGGTTTGAATATCAGCCACATTACCAGCTAGCTGACCGAGGCTTTCATAATTTTTCTCAGTCTCTCCAAATAAATACATTTTATTTACTGCTTACTTAACGAAAAGTTGTTTTGCTGCCGCTAATAACATAATATATAAATAAATAACAAAGTTCTAGAAAACAGATATTTATAAATTTTTATTGTGGATGTATTTGTTTTCCCATCTTGTAAATTACTGCAAAAGTACAGTATCATTTATTAGTAACAAGATCATAATCACTTCAGCATAGAAATTAAAAACAAATACATTTCATATTATAGCAATATACTTACATATGTAATATTTACAAAGTCTCCATCTCCTAGTTCAGTTCTTCTTGCATAGGCAAATTTGAAGGCTTCAATAATACGATGATATGTCAAAATGGTACTGTTGGTATCTCTGATACTCTCTGAGGTAAAATTGTATCCATCAAGGATATTGAGGACGAAGCCCAGGAGAATACCACTGCCTGGAGGTGGAGTACTGAACAGTGTCATTTTGTCTTGGAGATTTACTGTTATAGGCTCATCCCATTTCACTCTGTACAAAATAACATTTATTCATGAAGGGAAGAAGTATTAAATCAATCTTTAAACTTTGTCAAATACATGAATATTGTATATCAAATCTAAAACTTCTTGACGATGGTAAAGAGTGAATTGAATAAAATTTTTGGATATTATCCATCGTCTAGTAAATATAAAACGTAGATAGGGATTAGCTCTATCTAGTGGCCCCAACTGTGTAGGAACCTGAAGACGGAGATAGAGTCCCATCTCCGAAACGTCGTTTTACGTTTTATATTTACTAGACGATGGATAATATCCAAAAATTTTATTCAATTGACATGAATATTGGCACATGCTTTTAGCCTACCTTTCAATAAATAGAACAAATAGTTACATCTAATTCAGTAGAATGAAACAAAATGTCAAACAACTTAAATTTTGTGAATTGTGGTCTTTTGGGCTATCTTGTAGGTGGTTATCAATATTTTGGAGAACATGTCACCTCCACCTTCAAGGTCACTTTTGCCCTTAAAATGGAGACCATACGCTTCTCTAAACTGGTGGTAACCACCTACAAGACTCACATGACCACAAATTATATTTTCACCACCATGAAAACTTCAACTTCTAGTAATAAAATAACTTGCATATAAACATCAAAAATGTGCATAAGAGAGATAAGCCAGAAGGAACTCGAGAAAACTGCAGTACAAGAATGTGAGAATCAAGGCATTCACAGAGGTGAAGATGATAATGTTGTTCCACTGGGTTGTGGACTCATACATAGATACCAGTGTTTTGGAGAAACATACCGTTTCTAACTTCAGCCCTACAGATGGAGGCAAATATGTTTCTTCTGAACTAAACCACTGGTATGTGCCCACATGGCATCATAACCCAGAACAAAGTCAACATTATAAGATGTTTTATAATTTGTACTCCTTACCTAAGGCAGTGAGATTGAATCAAGGATATAAGCTGTGCATGGCATGTAGCAAGCACAGAAGAAATTAAACATTTGTTCAAAATGTTCATCATGAAACCTAAAGCAAAGAGAACACTTCTGACACTTAAGCCTAGGAAAACATGATGTGAATATGTACACTTGATTCATCTGGCTAAGTATAGGTTTCATTGGTAGGCTTTTGTGAATACAGTGATAACCCTTTGGGTAATATTAAAGTAGGGAATGACCTGACCAGCCAATTAACAACCAGCTTTACAAACAAGACTGTATCGTTGGAATGAGTGAGTTTACTGTACCTATAACTAGCCATGTCCTCTTCTGTGATGATTCCACCCATCTCCTGGATATCTGAGACAAATACTTTGGCTAAACTTCCATTATATAAACAATTGCCACCATTTTTGGCAATAATTTTAAGCGTTTCACAGAATTTCTTTGGTCTGATCCGTTCCCCTGGTCGGAAGAACTTTCCAGTCTTTGGATTAACAAATACTTCCCTGGAAATGAATAACAAAAATTGGTAAGACACTCTTTTAACTTGAAGTTTCCTGAAAAATATTATATATATTCCTTTTGTCATTCTAATTGGAAAGTCCAGGACAGACAAATAAAACCAGGACATTATGCAAGCTCTAACAGTGAACCACTGCAGAAAAAAACTGAACAAATAAATTATACAGGTACTGGCATGGATGAAAACTGGATATATACACTTTCTCCCTTCTTTTTTACTTGTACTGAAAAACTCTACAGGAAAAGTAAATAAATAAATAAATTTGTCTTGGCAAGTTTTATGGGTAAAATGATGTAAACACATGCATGTACAAATGCTCAAAGATATGTGATTGCTGACAAATGAGTGGAAACTTGAAACACAAAATGGCTGAAATATTATGACACAAAGGTAAATGGTAGACACTTAAAAATCATGATAACATTTACAGTGCAATTTAACTACCTAATATTTGAATAAATTTCAAGAGGCCCATCAAATTACAGTTTTCTTTCCTTTACTTGATGCTCAATTTCTATGATTCCAATTCCAGAACCATTATTTCAGCCATGAGTACATTCATTTAAGGTTTTCCTCAGTGTAGTCTTTGAATCACCAGAGAAACTTTAAGTGGGACAATCACTGTACAAAGATTTAACACACTACAACAGGAACTTGTCATTCATACCCTCTTCACGCACATGGATGTCCTAACTTTTGACTTTTTGTTATATTTTTGCCAAAGCTTCCAAACCTGAGTATCGGGTCCTTGTGAATGTATTCAGCCCTAATGTCAAGGGAGTCTGACTGATGCTTGCTCATGATGTATCCCTCCTCACAAATGCTAATGGTTGGCATTATAACTTCCTCCCAAGTCAACCGCCCATATCTTTGATGAGCATCCCAGTAGCCTTTCAGCTCCCCTGGTACTCCAACTGCCAGCACACCTGTTATACACAAGTGTTATAAATTCCTGCAAATATCAATCAATTAAATGTTGCTACTCAAAACACATGCCATCTATTGTCCCAGATTTAGTGTTTCTTAGTTTAATGTTTTGCTTCATTTGTAGTTTGTTATCTTTAGCCAATAACATCAGTGTAAAACACCCTCAAATTATGCGTTTCCTCAGTTTAGTGTTCAAAACTGTTGTTCTCCAAAGAAACATTAATCAACAATTGTGCCATATAGGTTCTAATGACTGAAAATCATGTTAGTCTTCTGCATCCTCCAAAATGTTAATGGTATTGTATTTACTCACATATAACACACACCTTTATTTCTGGATATGAAGATTAAGAAAATCAAGTATTCAAAATAAATAAAATATAGCTAGCAAAAGCAAATAAAGAAAGGGAGCAAAAATTAAAAATTATGGCATATGAGATGTCTGAAGATTAGGTGAACACAGTTGGCATTAATTGTTGCAGGTGGTATTTTGTAATGTAACTGACCCAGATGCAACCATATTCTAAATCAGTCAGATGATGGCATGACTGGTGGTGAAGATATTTCGACAGAGGACCAGGATAAAATGCATAACAAGAAACTTCGTAATTTGTACTTTTTATACAGCATGGTTAGTCTGACTAAATAAAGAACAAGATGTATGGGAGGAACAAGAACTGCACACAATATTTCTGCTGGAAAATCTCAATAAAAGAAATTAAGGTTTGAATGTGTAAACTGAATTCAGATGGTTCAGGATAAAACAGCTGGTAAGCTTTTATACAAAGGCTCTGAAATTCTGTAGATGAATAAAGGAATCATGATTGCATTCACCATTTCTTGATAACTTTTGTTTGAAGGCTATTTACCATTCTTTGACTTATCACTGTCTTCATTAAACATATCAGGTTCAGACCTCAAAGGGGCAGATTCCCTTGCATTTAGTGTAATAGCTGTCTGGCTCTCACGTAAGTACAGTGTCATCATAAATCCACCACCCAGTCCCATGCTTTGGCTGTTTACCATTCCATTACAGATCAGAGTTGCAACAGCAGCATCCACCACTGAACCATTCTTCAAAAAGATGTTCCTGATAGAAAAATAACAAATTATCAATTAGAAGCTAGTGATGATCAGCACTGTCTGTGTTCACATCTGAAGCATAAACTAAAATGCATGTGAACAGTTACTTCCATATCCTTTCTACATACATTCATGTCATGATGCCTGCTCAGAGGTAATATTACCTCACTGAAGACAACCATCTTCTGGGATGCTGCACCATATAGTCTCATAGAAAGTGACTGATGTTTCACAGGTGCTTACTTCAGCCACCATACATCATCACCCCAATTATGGAGGCAGTTAAGCTCCTTTCAAATTTCTACAAAACTGCATGGTACAACATCCTATAAAACGGCCTTCATGATCACCGTGATCATCCCTTCTAATTCATTATTCACTAATCGTCATATCATTAAAGGTAATATCTAGGCTACTGACAGTAAAGTTTGTCCCACTATACGCCATGTAGGCGTTTGGGGTGAGTGGTCAGCATCATGCCCCGGCTGGCTTTACCCCTGGGAAAGGACCCTGGTACCCACTGTAGAGGAGGCTGGGTGGGCCCCATAGCCAGTCTGAATGCAGAGGCTAGAGGAAAAATCCTCTGCCCCGTCGGGGATCGAACCCCGGTCGTCCAGCCCGTAGCTAGTCACTATATTGACTGAGCTATCCCGGCTCATAGGCTACTGACAGTATCGTCAAATAAACCACGACACTTCTTTTGACTAAATAATGACAACCTAGAAATTCATTTTCTGATCCTTCAATGTGTAACAGCTAAGGCAGCATGATGGAGGCAGCAAGCATCTCTGACACATAAGTAACTTCTACCAGACTACAGGGCACAACCCAGAAAGTAGCCATCTTCAAGACCATCATGTTGTCTCACCTTTCTGTGGGAAAGCCAACACAAAAGCAACAATATATTCCATGACATACACAATTAATTCCAAATCATCAGCCTCTACTGGCATGTCAACAAGTCTACAACATGATGGCAGGCCAAGCAAGCAATTCAATTGAGGTATTCATGGGAATGTTACTTTAGATACTGGTATTCTGGGTTGCTGCACTCTGCAATTTTCTGGCTAAAAAAATCTGTTTGTCATATCTAAGGTTTGTGATGGTATGATATTAAACCAACATATTTTGGGCTTTTATCATTTTGCTTTTGGTTAAAACAAATTTCAAAATAAATGTTCTGCATCCATCAACATTCATGAAAGTAAACCTACTCAACTGATTCTATTAGATGGAGCTAATTTATATCCCATCTGATAGGCATAACTGAGTACTTTACTCTCATATACCTGATGACTTGAGCAGTGTGGCATCCAAAACTCTTTTTAACCAACAGTAAGACAAAGAAGGAAGTCCAAAATATCTGTCACTTAATACCAACATTTTAGAGGAAAATGCTACCTTCATATTCAGGGCTGAGGTGAGATGATTGCTCTGAGTTGTCAGTCTTCCTGAACTGAACCTCCATCTAACCCTACAACACATCATACATAACACATGACCCAACCCATATAACCCTTGGTATAAAGTGGTAAAAACAGGGTGGATAAACTCAAAAAAATAAAAGGAAGTCGTGATAGTAGAATATGAGATTTCAATGTCAGAGTAACTTATTACAGGAACTACTGAGCCATCTGTATTCACTCCAAATCACCTCAATACTTATATACTTTTAATATTATCCTCTCACCTGTTTTGACTTCTCATGTGGCTGCTGTCAGAGCAGTTTCTGTACAAAAACAAATCACGAAATGGTTTCCCATATCTACACAAAATCCTTCATATAACTACCATAATGAAATTAAAAAGCAGTATAACCACACTTTCAGTAAATAATAACATTCCATTCTGTGTTAATCTCTATTGCTGCTTTTTCATGTAGCCAGTGCTGTTGAAGTGTGCTGCCGATATAGAAAAAATCAAAACTCCAGAACTCTCTTGAATGATCCACTGACAACACATCAGGTACATACGTCTCAACAGCCAATTTTATGTTATTCTAACTTGGTAAGTGAACATGACTAACCCTAGCACAACAATTACTCCACTGGCTATCAGCAAGCACAAAGTAAATGACAGAACACACCATTCAATGCACCTCATTTTAACACTGAAAATAGGGGTTCATTCAAACAACTTTATTTGTCTACGACAAAAACATACAATTAGAATTGTGTTTAAAACTTGAAAACAACATAAAGACAGAGCACAAACAAAAATATTTAAAATATATTTGAAATACAATTTCTATTACATAAGGGATGCGTTTTTACGATATTCACTTTCATATTAAATCAAATTATGTTATCAAGTGAATCAGCAAACATGAGAAAGGAAAATCTCTGATATTATTCCTCTCATTGTATGGTAAGGACAGTCACTCCAGATGTAAACGTATGAAAGCTTCAATGTAACACTTCACTTTAAATTTGTGTGCCATCAGTTCACATAACAGCAAAATTAGATTATCACAATGCAATGAAAAGTTACTTAACTGGCATATTTGATCTTATAAATATGCTCAATATGCGTAATTTCCAACTTCATAACTGAATAAACTAAAATTTTGTTTGTAAACACTTGTTAAACTATAGTTTAAAACTGTTTCGAGAATTATATATAAAGCTGTTCTCGCATATTCATTAGGTTCAGATATTAACTTAAAATTATCACAGAAACCTTTAAGAATTTAACTATTTAAAAACATCCGAGCTGGGGCATGTTTAACTTTTCTTATTTCACGTGATGATGGGACCTTCGCAATACATGATAATGTATATTACTCGCAAAAGGTCTGGCATCTGCAACCTGCATCTTGATGTTGCTAGCTGGAACTTCAGACACAAAACCTGCATATTTTTGAGTCACCGTATCACAAAACCAGAATTTCGTCGCCAAAACGTTCCAATATTCCTGGGCAGCCAAGCTTTTTACAGCACAAGATTTATTTTTCCTAGCTTTTCTGTGCGACCTTGGAGTTTTCCATTTTCTTATTCTGTTCAGTGTTCTGCAACTTCGTCACAATTTTACGGGAGTGTCCACTGGGATCAAAATGGTTGGTATGTTCACTAGCTTCCTTCTTGGTTCGCTGTTTACCGCTGTGACCTGAGTAAATATGTTTGTCATACTCAAAATTGTAATGCTCGTACTCATCAAAATGGCTCTCAGACATTTTTAAATAGGTTTATTACTACACCACGTCCAATATCCCGTCTCTTCGCTATCAGAATACTTGTTCAGGAGTTTGCAACTGTGAAAGTCAATATGAAAGGCAACGGCAGCACATGCGCAAACAGTTTGTTTTGTTGTACAACACGACTCGTGATTGGTTGGAGGAGGCGCAAGTGCCTATTACTTTTTTTTCGTTGATTGCCATGTTTACTAACATCAACATGATAGGATAATCCTCTTTCATATCAAAAGAACAAAGGAAATGTGGTCTCAGACGCAATTCCCGTTTCACTTTTCGCTTTATTCCCTCTGCAAATGCCACCATCAAGGATAGTTCCTTCGAACAGAAAGCTTTCTAAGAGGTGGAGCGCGGTATAGGCTATGCATCTTTTCAAACTCCCACCGTGTTCACAAAAGCCAGCCGCTGGTCCCTACCTGGGCCAAATAAATAGTACAAACTCCTCTTCAGCCCCCTGTTCATTCCTCTTAGGCCCTTCTATCCTCCCTTAGTATGAGAGGTCAAGTTGCACACCTTAATAAACATCAAACAGTCCTTCGTAAAACGAAAACTTGAAGCACAGTGTTCTACCTACTGAACGAAAAATGGACGCATCATCGGAAGCCAGTGTGCGTCTGTCTAAATGTTTTATCTCGGAAATGATTCGTCGGAATTTTATGAAATTTGATATTTGGCGGTAAGTACTAAAATTACTCAAGATAATCGAATTCTGGTTTATATTAGTCCAGCACAGCCCGTCCTTTACAGAGAGACTATTAATCGCGGATTTTTAAGCTTTTTAAATTTTCCGTAATGCCCTGCCTGACGATAACGAATCAAACTATTGAGTGTTTTATTGCTTGTTTGTTTAGCAACGTATCTTCAACTGCATGGGTTATGTTGTGTATATTCTCGAACTTATACTATTGCGGCAATAGTATTGCCATAAATAAAATTTCGTTTCAAAACAACCTTCCGATAAACCGTAGTTGGAAGTCTGAAGTTAACCTTATCCCAGTTCAAGTTCCACTCAGCAGCGTACTGATATATGTAATGATCTACGAAGTTATACGTATCCCATGATTAAACTTCCCGGGTACGTCGAGGTAAAGACCCACGCATTTTTAAATTTCGCACTACATGGGAGTGAATGGTCACTTTCACGCTCCGACACTGGGAAAAGAGTAGTCAATATTTGCTCTGTACGTATGAGGTTGAATGGCCCCAGAGACATCTTAAATTGTTCTTCTTCTTATTGTTATTATTACATTCATAACATATTATAGTTGTATTTAACAACATTCTGCAACGCAAATTTACGTCTGTGGCTCAGTAAGGTGGGGACAGAAGGTGCAGGTAGCTTACTTGCCGATTTCGGCGCACGGGGGCCCGTCGGAGCAGACAGCCGCCTTCTTGAAGTGTCGCTCTTGAGAATTCGACGGTGGCAATGGTGTTTCTGGATTGGGAGGCTCCAAGAGTGGCTTTGGCCTGGAGTACAGTTGGAATGTGATCTGCACAATTCCAACAGCAGCAACGCAGATCGCCAACACCACTCCTGCTACCACTAGATAGCGCTTCTGCAGCTTGGGCCTGCAACAAAAGAATGGCACATGAAACAACAATACATAATCAATATAGCACAAGTCATTAACTAATCGCCTGAATGCGAACTGCTTAATAAACTACACTACTGCTACCTGACTTATTACAAATTAATGGCGATTTTGTGATTATTATGTTTTGATAATTACTCATTGTCTTTTAGTTTGTTTAAAGACACTTTATCTGTAATTCAGACTATACAATCTCGAATGAGATGATAACGACTGCTTAATTTACTGAATGTCTGACTGTTTAGCTCCTTAAGCAATTAGGTGATCGGTTAACTAACACCGTGTGACCTGCACAGGACAAAAGCCTTGTTGGTATCGAATGAAAAACATTGGTGTAATTACGAAAGATTATCTGTGAATGTTGTGGCCGTGGTTTACTTTAAGGTGTTGACCTTAAAATGAATACTTTATTCGTATTTGAGCATTCAGATAAAGTTATAGCCCACATTTTCACACCAGAATCGACATTCAATTCTGTGGCCATGTGCATATAATTTAAATTCAGAAATAAATTAAAAATGACGAATTTCACTAAAAATCTGATTATCCAAGGCGGAGTTATTTTTAGTGAACAGACATATAGAAGGAAAGTCGTGGTAAAGGCAACAAGTTCTTGCACATTGCTGTGAGACGACCTTGAAATTTTCTGACACAAATCGAGTTTCCTGGTTTCAGAGATGATATGATTGAGACTGGCACCTGACTTACAACAGACTTCATGGAACACACGATTTCTTGAACATTTGTTTCACTATCAAAAAGGTCTGTAGTTTAATCGTTGGTCTCCAGATGACGTCTACAACGTAGCATTCCATCACGAAGAACCATCAAGAAATTTTTGCAGGCCTAATTAAGAATTAAATTATACTAGAACAGAGCAAGAAAGTGTTGGTAATTTACAATCTCCACAAAAGCAACCACTCTATGCATTAATGTACAATACTATTTATTAAAGATCTCGATGGATACAGGACTACTGTATACAAGAGAATATGGTTGTGTTAAGGCCAAAATATGCCCTTGACACACATTGTAACATCACACGTACTGTAGAAAGTTCGACACTTCTGAGCACCTTGAACAGCAATTTTAAAGTTCCAACAGCAGCCTAACTGGTCGTCCTACGTAACCAATGATTGAACCAAGGATCGGTAAGCATAACCTCTGTTTCAAGGTCCTACTCGAACATACGTATAACTCTACTACACCTTTTTAATCTTTAACTTCGCCACTGCTAAATTTTAAATTTAACTTTCTTCTTTCTGCATATGTATTATCCAACATTTTCGATTATCCGACCGTCTTCAATCCTGTTAAGGTTGGATAATCGGGACTGTACTATAGTTTAAATTCAACATTTAAGATATTTACTAGCCTATTGACATTAAGAATGCCCTGATTCCAGTTAAAAATAATATATAATAGAACTAGCATAACCCATCCTTTACTTTGTTAAATGGCTCTCAGCCAAAACAAAGCAGAGGTAACCGACCTCTTTTCTAACGTAATGACAGACGGAAGTGTTCACAGCTGAAATTTGCAGCAACCACAGCTCGGAAATCGTGCTCTGCTGAACACCTTGTTATGTTCCTATTGCGGGCGAGCTATGTGGGAGAAGAAATCTTTTACTCTCTGAGGTTGTCTGGCCAATAAAGTTCAACAACCCCAAAAGATACCATTTGTAGGGTTGCCCAAACACTTGAACACATCACGTACAGTATATAGAGCGCTGCTGTTGCAAAGAAACATCTGGTTTTCGTGAATGGATAATTTATTTTCCAGTCTCGGAACAGGAAAGATTGTTAGTGTAACCCAATAGAGGGGAAAACGGGTATGAAATTAGTTGAACCGAACTTCCCTAACAACGCAATCTTACTATAATAAACAAATGCCTAGTGTTTTCCATTAACGCTTCGATGTTTCAGACGGAATTATTATTATAATAATAGGTCCGTTTATAAAATCAATTGTGTTTGGACAAATATTCGATAAGGCGTGTCCCATTGTGTGTGTATTACGAATAACTACGACTATTATTCGAGATATTTGTCGATATGGGAAAAGTTTAGCAAGAAACGCCCCAGGTAGTATGGTAAAGTCGGCTTGAAAATAAAGAAAATTAAACGAAAATTAACATATAGTAATATGCACATAACAGAAGTTCAGCATAAAACGTTTCATTAGAAACAGTCAAGGGATTCGAAAGACATGCAAAAATTAGTTTAAGAATTAGAATAAAATGGCGCTTAAAATTGACGAACCTATATTAAAATTACAATGGCTCGGACATGACAGAATTAGATACGCACCTAAAATATTTAATGATTCACTTGGACGTCCACAATAAACTTGAAAAATTAAAACTGATTACGTTCTGGGACTTTCTACAATTTATTTTGTGTGGGTGTCTCCCACGTTAAGGTAAGAGCACGTTTGAGAACAGGGTGTTGAGAAGATTATTCGGACCTAAGACAGAAAATTAAATTATGAGGAGTATAATTAGGCTATTCTTTATAATATTATTAACGTGATCAATTGATGAGAAAAGAATGGGGAGGGGCGTGTAACACTTTTCGGAGAGACGGGAACTGCATACAAAAGTTAGACGGAAAACTGAAAGGGAGGAGACCACTTGAAAGACCTAGGAGTAGATGGAAAGATAATATTGAAATGTTTATCCAAAGAATATGGTGTGATAGTGTACTGGATTAATTGCTCCACTGAGGTTTATAAAATTAAGAATCACCTCCACGTTTTCAGTGTGGAAAATGTTGTTTCTTTAGTTATTTTAGGGCACTGTGTCATCTGAAAACAGCATACAGGCTTTAATGTCGAGTAATAAGAAACTGGTGACTCTGAACGGCGAGTGGAAAATGTAGAAGAGGCGGCACAGAGCATTTATGCGCTGTCCTACATGTTTTAGGAGAAGTACGCATGAATCAAGTTAACCCACGGAATTAATTGTCAAGATAGTCGATATCCTGTACTAGGTTCGATCCTTGAACATCTTAAATACAACGTGAAAAATGCTGCTGTGGTTGTTAGCCCTTTTATCCGAAAAATCCCACTGGTAACCATATACACCGCGTGCTATAATAATAAATAATTATACTTTTCTCCACAGTGTATTTCCGATTTCTTACGATTCTCAGAGTAAACAGCGGTTTTTCG